GGGGAGCAACCCCCCCCCCCTGCCCCTGCCGGTTGTGCTGCTCTGGATACAGCCCAGGATACGGTTGGCTTTCTGGGCTGCCAGTTCATGCTGCCGGCTCGTGTTCAGCTTTAGTATTATGTAGTATATGTAGTTCTCAAAGTGGGATAAACTGCTTGGGTTAAAACCATGAAATCATAAGAAAATGCATTCAAACAGGAGAACCAGATAAAAATACCTGGTATTGTATCAGAAACTGAAACACCCATTACAGTAATTATGAAGTAGAAATTGGAATCATATCATGTATTCTCCACTTCCAAAGTTCTTCTGTCCCGTATATAATGGGACATATGATCAGTCAGCACTTTATTACAAGTTACTCTACATTTTTGTCTTTTATATTTGCGTAGTGGTCTGTTACTTTTCTGAATATATTTTTTATTCAAAATCATTCTAAAAATATTTTTAGTTAATGACTATTACCTTTAATGTCATAGGGAGGAACTCATTTAAAGTATTAAATTTCTTGAAACTGAGATACTTAGGACACAGGCAGACTTGCTGGAATTTCCTCCTTTTACTTGGAAATATATCTTTCTTTTAATGTCTTCACCCTCCCCCCACCCTTTTTGTGGACTCATATTTCAATAAATGGAAATTAGCAGAGAGCCTATTATAAATAATTTATTTGAATCAAATTATTTTGTAGTTTTTCTGTTTCTAAACTCTCTTTCAGACAAGTAAATTTCTATTAAAAATCAATACCTAGAAACCCAGGCTTCAATTTTATTCACATAATTCTGTCTGTCATTAACCAGCCAGACCAGCTACTGCAGGCTCAGAGCTGTTGCTGCCACTGAATTCCACTCCAGCAAACCCTTGAACAGAAACATACCCGAGCTTGACCAATATTGGAAAGTTGTAGAATCAAAGAATGGTTTGGTTTGGGAGGCATCTTAAAGATCATCTAGTTCCAACCCCCCTGCCATGGGCAGGGACACCTTCCACTAGACCAGGTTGCTCCAAGCCTCATCCAGCCTGGCCTTGAACACTTCCAGGGATGGGGCATCCACAACATCTCTGGGCAACCTGTTCCAGTGCCTCACCACCCTCTCTGTGAAGAATTTCTTCCTGATATCTAATCTAAACCTCCCCACTTTCAATTTAAACCTGTTACCCCTTGTCCTGTCACTACATGCCCCTGTAAAAAGTCCCCCCCAGCTTCCTTGTAGCCCCTTCAGGTACTGGAAGGCTGCAATAAGTTTTCCCCGGAGCCTTCTCTTCTCCAGGCTGAACAAGCCCAATTCTCTCAGCTTTTCTTCATAGCAGAGGTGCTCCAGCCCTCTGAGCATCTGCGTGGCCTCCTCTGGACTCGCTCCAACTGGTCGATATCCTTCTTAAGTTGGGAGCCCCAGAGTTGACACAGAACTCCAGGTGGGGCCTCACGAGAGCAGAGTAAAGGAGTAGTATCACCTCCCTCGACCTGCTGGCTACACTTTTGCTGATGCAGCCCAGGATATGGTTGGCTTTCTAGGCTGCCAGCACACTTTGACATCTCATGTCCAGCTTTTCATTCACCAGAACCCCCAAGTCCTTCTCCTCAACGCTGCTTTCTATTCCCAGCCTGTACTTGTGCTTGGGATTGCCCCAACCCAGGTGCAGGACCTTGCACTTGGCCTTGTTGAACTCCATGAGGTTGGCAGTGGCTCACCTCTCCAGCCTGTCAAGGTCCCTCTGGATGGCATCCCTTCCCTCCAGCGTGTCAACCGCGCCACACAGCTTGGTGTCATCAGCAAACATCCATGTCACTGACAAAGATGTTAAACAGTACCAGTCCCAACACCGACCCCTGAGGAATGCAGCTCATCACTGGTCTCCACTCAGACATTGACCACCACTCTCTGAGTGTAACCGTCCATCCAGTTCTTTATGCATCAAGCAGTCCATCTGTTAATTCCACATGATTCCAGTTTAGAGACAAGGATGTCATGCAGGACAGTGTCAAATTCTTTGTGCAAGTCCTCCAGGTAGATGACATCTGTTGCCTGTCCTCTCTCCACCAAGGTCGTGACCCCATCGTAGAAGGCCACCATGTTCGTCAGGCACGATCTGCCCTTGGTGAAGCCATGTTGGCTGTCACCAATCACCTCCTCATTCTCCATGTGCCTCGGCATGATTTCCAGGAGGATCTGCTCCACAATCCTGCCAGGCACAGAAGTGAGAACAACTGGTCTGTAGCTCCCCAGGTCTTCTTTTTTTCCCTGTTAAAAGATGGGGGTTATGTTTCCCCTTTTCCAATCAGCGGGAACTTCACCAGACCACTATGAATTTTCAAATATGATGGATAGAGGTTTTGCAACTGCATCCGCCAGTTCTTTCAGGACCTGTGGATGTATTCCATCAGGTCCCATGGACTTGTGCACCTTCAGGTTCCTCAGGCATTCCCAAACCTGATCCTCACTGACCATGAGCGGCTCTCCATTCTCCCTGCCCTTGCCCTCCGTGACTCTGGGGGTATAACTTGTGCCCTTACCAGTGAAGACCAAAAAAAAAAAAAAATTAAAAAAAAAAAAATCATTGAGTACCTCATCCTTCCCCATATCCTTGGAAGCCAGCTCTCCCGTTTCCTTCTACAGAGGGCCCACATTTTCTCTGATCTTCTTTTTATCCCCTATGTACCTATAGAAGCCCTTCCTGTTGGCCGTGATGTCCCTGGCCAGGTTCAATTCTGTCAGGGCTTTGGTTTTCCTAACCTGATCTCTGACCTCTCGGACAACTTCCCTGTACTCCTCCCAGGCCACCTGTCCCTGCTTCCACCCACTGTAGGCTGCTTTTTTCTGCCTCACTTTGTCCAGGAGCTGCTTGTTCATCCATGCAGGCCTGCGGCTGGTTTTACCCAACTTCCTCTGTGCGGGGATGCATCGCTCCTGAGCTTGGAGGAGAAGATCCTTGAACACCTGCCAACTTTCTTGGCCCTCTCTTCCCTCCAGGGATTATTCCCAAGGAACCTTCCCGGTCAGTTCCCTGAAGAGGCTAAAGTCCGCTCTCCTGAAATTCAGGGTAGCGAGCTTGCAGCACATCCTCCTCGCCTCCGTATGGATCTCAAACTCCACCATCTCATGGTCGCTGCAGCCAAGGCTGCCCTTGAGCTTCACATTCCACACCATCCCCTCCCCGTTGGTGAGAGCAAGGTCCAGCATGGCTCCCCTCCTCGTCAGCTTCTCTATAACTTGGAGAGGGAAGTTGTCATCAACGCATTGGATGGGGGGTGGGACTAGATGATCTTTTAAGGCACTTCCCACCAACTAGATGATCTTTAAGGTCCCTTCCAACCCTAACCATTCTATGGTTCTATGGTTCTATGGCATTCCAAGAATCTCATGGCTTTCTTGTGCCCTGCAGTGTTGTCCCTCCAACAGATATCGGGGTGGTTGAAAACCCCCATAAGGACCAGGGTTTGTGAACGTGAAGTTGTTGCTCAATGTCATATGTAAAGAAAGTGTTACCTCTTTTTGCTCTGGTGATGATGATTCAACCTTCCCATCCTTTCCTAGGTAAAGCACACTGAATTCTTCAGAGGAAAATCCTGATCCTTTACTCCAGCTTCCTGAATTTTTTCCTCTTTCTCCTCTTTGTCTCAGGTGATTTTCATCCTGAAAATAATCTTAGTATTAGAGGGGATTCCTTTTCTGTTTGTGAGGGTTGGACAACTTGGAAGGGAAAGAAAGATAAGATATGCATTTCATTTGAAGTGAGGCTCTCCAGACAAAAGCCTTAATATATGATCAGTTTGAGTCTCTAATATTACCTAAGGATAGGGAAAGGGAAATTTTTCCCAATGGACATGCAGCAAACTAAGGAATTAGTATGTTAGTGAACTAATCAAAAGTTAAGTGTGAATTTTTGCAAAATGGTTAAGACAGAAACTTAAGGTGGGAAAACTTACGACCAGAATGGAAGCCTTCTATGGTTAAAATAGAACCAAAAAATTCAAGGAGCACAATGAAATAGGAACATATGCTACCATGTAAGAAACATGACATTAATAGATCCACTCTATACTTCATCCTTCTAACTTCTAATAACTACACACAGCAAGGAAAAATACAAAGAATGGACCAGAGCTATAAATTTATATTATGAGTCCATGATAATATTCTTTATGCAGAACATCCATTTTTGCTCTGTCAGGTAAATAATATCAAAAAAGTTGTCATTTACAGGATTTTTTACATGAAAATTCTTAGTTCACCAAAGACTGCCACAATTATCTCTGGATAATCTATGGCCCATGCAATTACCAGTGTGTAACACAACGCGTCAGCCAAGAATTCCTGCAGCAAACCTAAAGATTTATGGTCTTTCTTTTAAGACCATGATATACTTCATTTTCAAAAGGATCCAAGCGATAATTTACACTCACTCCCAACATTTGCACTTTTGGTTTTAGTTCAAAATTTGGTAGCTTTGTGGAAATGGATTAACATACATCATTTTGTTCTGCTAGAGACATATATATTCATATATATATATATGCAGTCTAGTGTTTCAGCACAAATAAGTTTATTACCTGTTTGCTGCATTCTATGTCTGTAAATGTGCTCAGCTTATCATCATCATCTTCAAAACCCTCACTTGTATTCTCTGCCTCAGCAATAGGGACACAAACAAATACATTGGGATTGGTAATAAAATCTTCAAGACCTGAGCATTTGTCCCCATTTTTCTCAGCCCATTCATTATTGTAATTCTCTTTACAATTTTTGATTTCTTCATTCTTGAACCCAAGGGGGTTCTGTGGAGCCAGTTTGATTTTCTTCCTGTGTGCTTTCTTTATATGCCTGAGCTTTCCACAACAGGTATCCCATGTAATACTCTTCACAAACTGAAATCCCTTGTGGATCCGAGCAAAGGCAATCCGAAGGTTGTTCATCTCTCCGTCATCCTCTGCTGTCTGGAGACAGTCGGTACTGAAGGAATTCAGCAGCAGTGCAATGAAAAGGTTGAGAACCTGGAATTCATTAAAATAATAATAAAATTACAAGTCAGGAGAGTTGGATTCAGAAATATAAATTCTAACTTTGAAGAACACAAATACTATCAAAGTTCTGTCTTACTGAGCAAACCAAAACAAGGTAATAATGAAATAACCATGACTGATCACATTCTGGCTGATGAAGTAAACTTCTGTCTCAGAAAGTCCTATGTTCCCTTGATGCATTTCCACAACATTTCTTTAAAATAATAGCTAAAATGGATTTGTGCATGCCAAATGCATTATTTGGCCAAAAAACCCAACATTTCAAAGATTACAGTAATAACAAAGGCTATGGTCAGAGCTTGTCAGTTTAATAATGTCTCTTCCATCTTCAAACAAGAATTAAATCAGGCCTTCTTGAAATTAATTCCAAAATCTTGTGTGAGATCACATCCAGGCCATTCAACTTCATCAAATCTGCAACACTGTCACAAAACCAGAAATTAAGAGAAGCCCAAAGTGAAGTTTCCTCCATGCTTTTGAGTACATTTAAATAGAATTAATAAACCCTAGGTTTGGTGTAGTTTTTTGTGGTTTGATTGTTTGTTTGTTTTGTTTTGGTGGTGTGGGTTTTTTTGTGTGTGGGGTTTTTTTGGGGGTTTGGTTTTTTCTTTTTTTGTCTAATGGAAGGGGAGAATTTAATTTTTTTTCCTAATGTTTAATTTTGGGATTGGATCTATGTATCTTGATCGTTATAGTGTCAATACCAGGCAGATAGCACACCTGAGTCATCCAGGGACCACAGCCAGTGTAGAGCATTAGCCCTCCAGGGAGCAGTTCATCCTATCTGTCTTAGTTACTGACCTCAGGTTGGAATAAATCTCACTCTCACATACCTCTCTCCTTCTTTTGATGGTATGAAAGCCTAAACAAGGAGCTTAGACTTAGCATTTCATGGTTTGACAGTTAACATCATGTGATAAGAATATCACTCACAGCATTTCGTCACCGAAATCAATCACTGCAACGTAGAACAGGCAGGACTTTAAGCCCAGGTGTTTGGGATTCAGCCACAGAACAGGTATTTCCCATAAAGGACTGTTTAAACTTAAATCTTTTTGGTGATTTTTTTTTTTTTTTTTTTTTTTTTACAGTAAGGGAAGATTGGTATAAGAATGATACCAAGAAACAAAGCTTATGATTTGGGCAGAAATGATGGAACAGGACTGGGAAGGCAGCCTGCCCCTTGAACCCTGTCATGGGTGTGCAGGGCTGCGTAGGGTGTGCCATAGCAGGATCTAGCTTTTGGGTGTGAACAGACTTAGATTTGATTAAAGAAAATCCAGATTTCAGTGATAGGGGTGTAGATCCTGCCATTTGCAGATAAGGAATTCAATACATGAGTTCTTAAAAAAACCCATAGATTTTGATTTACAGAGGGACTTAAACACTTGGCTCCATTAATTCAAGCAGGTAAGCCATAAGCCTTACTGGTTATTTACATCCAACACCCAAGACATGAAGAAACATAGTTGCCTGTATTATATTTACAGCAAAGATATTCTCCATCACATCGCCACAAGAAAAGGTCAAGCGATGGCTGTGTGCAGAGTACACAGAATGAGAAAACAAGGACAGCGACTCAAAGGTGAAAGGCAAAAGAAGTTTTTGCAGACTGTAACACACAAGGTAAGCCTTCCACCTGTGTTTTGAGAAAATACCTTCTTTTTTTTTTTTTGACAAAATGGCAATTATATAGATTCTGCCATTCACAGGATAAAGAGAAGGAAACATTGAAAAACTCACCACTAAATTTCCTATCACCATGACTAGCAGAAAGACAAGAAGGCACAGTGGTCGCTCAGCCACCACCATGCAGTCCCACATGGTCTCGATCCATTCTCCACACAGAATTCGGAAAATGACAAGGAACGAGTGGAAAAAGTCCATCATGTGCCAGCGTGGCTTGCCATTTTTGGTTATTTTATGGCTGTTCTCCCCATAGCTTCTCCCAAAAAGTTGTACCCCTACTATAGCAAAAATGAAAACGATGATTGCCAGGACGAGGGTCAAGTTACTCAGCGCTCCCAGGGAGTTACCAATGATTTTAATTAGAGTGTTCAAAGTTGGCCAGGACTTCGCCAGTTTGAAGACCCTCAGCTGTGCAGAAACATAAAACATAGTGTTAGACATTGGTAGAGATAACCCCTCTTTACACAAGTCAAATCCTGCAAAAACTATTTTACAGATATTCTGAACTATTCCAGCCACGTAGTGTTTGTGGCACTGTGACATTAGAATTTTTTAAAGTGGTGTGTGGTTTTTTTGTTTTTTTTTTTTTTTTTTTTTTTTTTTTTTTAACTGGGAAATACTGCAAAGATAAAATAAGCCCCTCATAAAGGACCAGGCTAACATGAATCCCTGGTAAATGTTACACCCACACAGGCAAGTATCCATACAATGCACTTGATGTAGGTTACAGTCCTTAACTTACATGTCACTCAAAGGACCAAAGTTGGGAGATTGGCAGTTATGTCGCTATAAAATCATTCAACCTTTTGGTAAAGCAACCTAAATTGATCATATCACAGCATATGATATGAATCTCTTAACATCATTTAACATCTATTTTTACATACTGGGTTGGTGGTTGGGGTTTTTTTTTTCGTTTGCCTCTTTTTTTTTTTTTTTTTTCTTTCTCTGTATTTGTAGTCTGACACTTCTTTCCTGACTTTCCTGTGCTGGTTTTTAATTTTTGACACCAGTCTTATAATATGTTGACTCTGGAATTTTTTTTTCCTCTGAATATTTCTTAGTGTATTCAAAAGAAATACATATGTCATTAAACTCTGACATCACAAGGAGTTTAAGAGTGTGTTTGTTATTCTTAGTGTCAAAAGGAGGAAATATTTTTTAAATAATTTCCAGCATCTTAACTGCAGACAACAGAAATATCGTCTATAATATTCACCATATAATCTTTTTTACAACTCAGTAAGCATGATGCATTACCAGTCTGAAGGATCGTAAAACTGAGAGGGTTCCTCCTTTTCGCCTTTCTTTCTTGCTTTTGCTTTTGGGTAAACTCAGTTCAATTAAACTCAGTGTGACAATTATACTGTCAAAAATATTCCAGTGTTGCTGAAAATAATAATAGGGGTCTAGAGCAATTATTTTTAAGATCATTTCTGCAGTGAAGATTCCTGTAAAAACCTGTGACAAGGAAACAGTAACATCAGCCTAAAAGTAGACATAAAATGTATCTTATCCTTAGATCATGTTCCCACAAATAACATTCATGGACAGGTAAAAAAAAACCATTTTTATGAACTCCTAATGCACTTTCAATTAAAATGGGAGAATTGCTTTCTGCCTTCTCAAGAGTGTGCTGGAAGTGTATTAATAAAATCTGGGAATTGTCTATATTAGAAATTTAGAGTTTATAAATGCAGAGTTTGCTAATCTTTATGTCTCAAGTGAAAACACCCATCAATCAATCCTTGGTATAAAATGTCACATAGCAGAGAATTTGCTTACCAAGTTGCCTACATTAAGCATCGATTTAAAATTATCTGACATATTATTGTGCTCCAGTGCCATGAACAAAGTGTTCATCACAATGCAAAGAGTGATGGTGAGATCAATAAAAGGATCCTTTATGAAAGCAGCCACTTTTTTCTTGATTTTCAACCAAAGCGGACAACAGTCCCAAATTAGATACTTTAAAGCAAAATCATTCAGGCACGGTGGGCATCTCCGTTGGGATTCTTCAAGTTCTAAAAGGAAAAGAAAACCCCACTATAATTAATTATCACTGAGCAAGATGGTAAAATATAACTACAAGTATTGAAAAGACCAAAGAAAAAGGAAACCTTACATCTCCCAAAGATCTCCCAAATTTTTCAAAGATCAGATGAGCTGATGAAAACAAAAAAGAAAGGAATTCCTTATTGTGGTCTCCTGGTCCAGGAAACTAAACAATTCGGGCTGAAATTTTTCAGAAGTTATAAAAAAACTATCAGTCAGGATAATGTCAGTGATAAACACCTCCCCCCCCAAAAAACAATTGACACAGAAAGGTGAGTTAAAAGAATGAAATAGCGAGGTTAAGTATTCAAAAATCAGAAATTGCCAGAACTTATTTTGCTTGAGCAATCTTGCTAGATTTTGCATGCCTATGCCTCTGCCAGTGACACATCACCAATCACAGGATCTGGAGGAGAAGAGAATATGCCAGTCTTTCACCTCAGATGCTAGAGAAAATCCTTCCACTCACTCCACTCCAACCTCTTTCACTGTCTGTCCTACAAAACAAGTTCTTATGACAGGAAAAGGATACTTTCCAGTAATAAAGTCTGTGTGGTAATGCATCTTTTTCAAAAAAGAGCCAAATTAATGACAAAATTCCTAACTACACACCTACAAATCTCTGTTAACCTTTAAGAAATGTATTGACATTTTGGTCTTTGATGCTAGCATTACCTTAGGAGTGAAACAAGCGTAATGAGGAACCACTTACCCTCCAAGACACTGGTAATTATGCTGACTGCACTTGCTGCCCTTTGTCTCTGAAGTGCCTCATTAAAGTACTCCACTGACAGATGAGGAGGCAAATGCATCATGCTGCTCTCATCATTTACAGCTGGCTGCTTAAAGAAGTAAACATGATTAGGGAGATACCACAGGAATAAAATTAAGTAGGATGTGATGATGGGTAACTATGAAAGTTAATAGGAACAGTGACACGCAGGCAACTAAATGTACCTTTTTACAAGAAGTAATAATGTTGAGAATGAAGGTCCTACTCTACAGTAACAATGCTGCGGTAAATGGATCCTGCAAGCATGTAATAGCAACAGGGCAGGCACAAACCTTGCCAGTAAGTGTATGAGGTGAAATAGGCTGAGGAAATATCCCAGACACTAATGGAAAAGGAAAGAGATGAAGGATAAGCGGGTAGAGAAGCATCTCTACCCACTTGGGAACTTACAGGCAAAACTTCTGCATGATGCTAAAGGTGCTGTAAAGGAGAAAGAAATTACAGGAACTGCTCAAAATTACCCCCGTGGACAGGGCATGGGATAAAAAGACTATTGGGTGACATGTAATTCCAGCACTTGGAACCTTCAAAAGTATGTTAGTACAAGTTGTGAATAGCAGAAAAATAGGGTTTATTAGTAACATGAAGACTGAAGCAACAACTGACTCTTTTTTGGGAACTCAGAGTATGAAAAAAACCACTTCATACTGACAATTCATAAACTTCCACATCCATGTGCTTCATTCAACATCACTGTTTGCCATTTCACTGAAACGCTTAAGAAAAACCTGCCACCTCTGGAGAAACCATAATATGAAGTATATACTTAAAACAATATCTTTCACTTACCAGATCATCCCTTCCTGGGTCTTCAATTACTGGTGGAAGCATTATTCCTTCAGAAGACACTAGGTCGAGACTGTGCACCCTGCTGTTTCCTCCTTCCATCACCGAAATCATCCCATTGCAGTCGTCCGTGTTAGCCCACCTGCTGCTTTGCACCCAGTTTGGGCTGGTGGGGTGGGAACTGTGGCTCATTTGACTTTGCACGCTGGGGCGTCTTCCCATCTGCGTGACCGACAGTGACCGGCACTGCATTTTGTGTTCACCAGCACTGTGGGTCTCCTCATCACCAAAATCCGTTTTAGAATCAACTTCTAATGCAGGTATTTGGAAATTAAACACGCTCCCATGGCTAAGTCTGCGTTTCACCTTATTTGCTTTGGGACTGTACATCAGACCAAGGAAAGACTAAAAGCCCAGAAAAAGGTATAAAGAGAGAATAACATAATATCATAGAGAAAATTTTGGTAAGCAATAAATTTTAGTTTCATAATATTTTATATCAACCATTGCAAGCCCAAAACTCTTACTTGATTTAGATTTTTCAGGAAGGATTATACTTGGATTTTAAAAGGCAGATAAAAAAAATTCTGTCATCTCTATGTAGCAGCTATTTTTGTGATAAAGTTTATATTTATATTTTAAGTAATAAATTTTTAACAGAGAATGGTGGCACAAAAGCTATGTTCTGATGGTAGTTATTATAACTTTCCCTCCATCCTTACTTTATAATATTTCCTTTGCACATTAATTTTTACATACAATTCTTCCTTATCCCAAAAGAATGTTCATTTTAAAGACTTAAGAGTGATCAGTGTTTGTAATGGGATTTGGTTTGTGCTTTCAAGTAATTTATTTTGGTATCAAAATTGGAAAAGTTGTAAGGATCTCAGATTCAGACAATAGATTACCAACTTTCGTTGACTGTCTGTGGACTGTGACTTGGGGAGTTGTTCTTCTGCATTATCTTCTATTCCCAAGGATTTATTTCTTTTCTTCCTATTGCTTCTTTCTTTGATTTCTTTGGTAGATAGAGAAGATGCTTCCAAGGAGCCAATTGACAGGATATCAATTCCTTTAATACCCAATGACTGAAATTAAAAACATGGATGATATTTTTTGCTGAGTATTTTGAATGTAAGAAGAAAGAAAACACTTCTGTGTTCTATATTACTTCCTCTCAACAATTTGTGTTTCACAAAACGCGTTAAAAATCTTCCAATATGTGATAACACTAAAAGGAGAGAATTTCCCCAACATATGGAGCGCTGAACAATCTGCTATTTGCAGTATGTTGCATGATTGCATGTATTGGGCCTGCCAGAGGCAAAATAATCACATTATAGCTCCTATTCCTCCATATGGCAGATTCGTTTACAATAAAAATAGTCAGTTTGAAAATAATGCTGTAGAATATATCCTTTCCTTGAAATAAATGTTCAAACAGTATTAAAATCTGTTTTTATATTGGGGATCCTTGGGACTGTATTCACACTGTGGCTGAATTTCCTTCCCACATTGAATTTAGGACATTATTTTGAAGACACAGGAGTATTTTGTTGCAGAATCTTCCAAGCCATTCAAGTCACCAACAGATTTTTCATTCAGCTACAATAGGTTTTAGCTCAGATGTTAATGCACTTGATCAACAGAATGACTGTATATTTCTCTGATCAGCAGTCTACAATGATAAAATAAGAGAAAAAATAAAAAACAACTACCTTTTCTTTTGGAAACTGCTAGCTGGTGGAATTTTACATTTTCCAGATTTTAAAATACTATTTTTCTTATAGTAACAGCAGCCTTTAATGTTCATTATCCGCAACAAAATTCATTGTTACACAGCAAAAATACACAGCTGAACAAGGAATGGCTCCTGTAACTCTTGGAATCACTACTTTTAATAAGTTACCACTTGCTCCTCTTCCCATGAGTGACTGCTATATACCACTGTATACAAGGGGTGATGTGATGTCTTATGTGACTGACAACAGAGCACTGAGACTCACGCTTCCAAGGGAATAATTTACATACCTCTTGCTCCTTCTGTAATAATTCCATGGCTTCCCGAAATTTCCTTTCTTTTGCCTCCGTTTCAGCAATGGTGGCCTTGTTCTGGTCTTCATATGCCATTGTTACTACAGCCAGTATCAAGTTGACTAAATAAAATGAGCCCAGAAAGATGACCAGCATGAAGAAGAGTATATACACCTTTCCAGAAGCTCTGAGGGTCTGTAAGCAACACACCCCAGAGATAAAAATTACCATATAAAATACTAATTAGGCTTTCAATGTGTCTTTGAAATTCTTTAGAAGCACTCAGCTTTCTAGACACAATATTCTAGGAGGCCTAAATGGAAATACAACTTCCTTGACCATCTTCCCCCTCTTCCTATACCATCACTTATGAATCACTGATTGTATACCCCTTGAGGACAACAGATGAGGCATCGTTACATTTTCGAAGGACAATACAGGACTATTTCAGTACTTGTTTTTAAGTCCCTAAATGATCAGGATGATTAGGGCTATTGCTAGGAAGCACTTCAGCATCTCCTTTCCAGGAGTCACAGCTTGCTGGAAGGAAGAAGAGAGAATGTGGGCTCAATGACTTGCAGCTATTGCTTTTATTTGAGGTCTCTTGTCCTCTCTACACATTTTTTGCTTCAGCTATTGCTCTTCCTGGAAAAAAAAAAGGTTCTGAATTGTACACAAAGTTGGTACCTGCTGGTACAGACGCTCCCAGTAGTCCTGGGTCATCAGGCGGAATAAGGAAAGAAAAGCCCAACCAAAGGTATCAAAACTAGTGAAACCGTAATCAGGATTTGGCCCAATTTTCATACATACATAGTCTGGAGGACAGGTCCTAGAAGTGATAATAAAAAGTGGAGTTCTTTTAAGCATGCTGTTTTCAAGGAAAACTTCAGCTTATGTAAGAGTTCTGATGATTATTCAGCTCTGTGTTTCATTAGATTGCCAACTAATTTTGTATTCCAGGTAGTATTGGCTGGAAAGTGCAATGGAGAAAGCAGCACCCATAACCCAGCAGCAAAGTAAGAGGACAGTCTGGAGCAGACCACCAACCCAGGACAACCCCCTCACCACCAATGATTATCCCCTGCCCCTCACTGCAAAGCAGCCACATCTCCCTCCTTGCCCAAACCTGCCCTCCTAAATCCATGTTTTGTTTTCCCAGTTTAACCACCTTACACGGTGCCTGTCCTGTGCTATATCTGAGATCTCCTGTGCTTTCTGTTCTCTCGGAAAGAAACAAACATCACTTCTGGAAGGGCTTCAAGGAACTGAGACCTGAATAAGCCAACTGCAGGTTCATGCTTCGTTCTCTAAAAGCATTTGGCTGACTGTTTACTGTATTTTGTTGTCAGTGTTCCTATTTCTGCATTCAAGGAAAGCCCAGAATTTCTGGTTTTCTCTCTTATGACTGAGTGAATACAAAAGCACTGATGCAGAGAAAACTTCCAGACAAGAAAAATTTGTAAGTGCACTTACCCAGCACCAGAACCACACAGCAAAATATCTGAGGTGCCCTCTTTCTTGGCAAAGTACACTATAAAAAAGGGGAAAGAAAATGAAAACCAAAGCACTTTCTAGCCTGAATCATCTATCCTTTAATATGAACAGTAATGAGTAGTCAGTGACCTGTATGTGTACGTGCACAGACAAATTACCGTGTAGCAAATATGAAATGAGCACTAAACTAAGAGAGACGGGTTTCCCACGCTCACAGTGACTACACCAGATTTCAAGATGCCTTGTCCTCATTTATCAACATGCATATGTGCATACACAGATTTCAATGTTTGAAACAGACAGTTTTAAAAATATTACCACTTTGGCCATATCTGCATAAAGGAAATCAAGAATTGTAGGGCACAGACTCAAGTATAGAATCATAGAATGGTTCTGTATTCAATAGAATAGTCCCTGGTTTGGTACTTGTTAGCACAAACTGAGGCACACTTTTGGCCCACAGCAACTAGCCCTCTCCAGGACAGCCTACGAACATCATTTGGGGTAGCATAGATGAGTTCCGTTTCCAATGAGCAATAAAATCAAAGCCCTGTTTTGAGGAGGAAGAAAGACTATTTGGCTGTGTGGATATGCACCAGGTCACATCACCACTCTGCCAAGACAAACAACAGGTCCTAACCCTGTTTAGCTGAGAAATACAGATTTGTCTGCTGCATTAGGATGCTGGAGCTGTGCCCTTTTAGACCTCTTCCTCTATGTCTCTTAGCATGAGTTACTCTGATGCCTGAGCTACCAGACTGAAAGTAATAGATTAGTCCTAATAGCTCATTAGCCCCATTAAGATGTGGGTTTATTATCCAAGATGCAAGGAAGGTCTCATGCCTTCCTGGTTCTTCTCAAGTCTCAGCTGTGCTCATCAGGTAAGTCAGCATGACCCAGAGCCAGCAGGGATCTTCAGTATCAGCTCTACCATACCATACAGATACACCATAAAGGAATGAGGCACTATCTGAGCTACTTTCCACCCAAATTTTGTTCAGCTCTGCTGCTGTAAACTGACAAAAAGTCTTTTAAAGAAGGTTCAGTGACTGAGCATCAGAGAATCATAACATGTACTTCTCCATCTGGAGATGGGAACTTCACATGAAGTCAGGACAAAAGCAGCCCATAAAAAATATTTTTAAAATAATTTAATGGAAAACTGAGCTTACAGTGCTATAAATCATAAATCCCACAGGCAGGAAAGTCATCTATCTTTCATTAAACCTGTATGTTTAAAACCTGTTCCTATTGTTATCATTGCAAATCAACCTGTACGTGATACGTGCAGCATTGGATATGAACAAGACACAGCTTGTGAAACAACACAGATTTTTAATTTCTTGACCCCTACTTTCTCCAGGCAACTGCCTTTACAGAGCTGCAAGGTTTTATATAAAAAAAAACAAAAACAAAAACCCAAAACAAAACAAAAACCAACAAAACAAAAACACCCAAACAAAAACCCCACAACAACATGAAGAAAATTTAGATATCTTTTGTTTCCCATTTCTTCAGCACAGAAAATTAGTATTTTTGTATAAGTAAATTACTTTGTCCTTGTGTGTGGTTTTTTTTTTTGGTAGGTATAAGAGTTTCTTGAAAAAAGTTTTTCCTCAGAAATCTTTTATATAAAGACTTTCTTCCCCTGGACTATGAAGTTATTAAATCCTGTCTGAACAAATCTCCCACACAGAGTGTATACAAACAGCAATCCTATGTGCCTTTTTTGTGTATGTCAACATTTTCCCTGGGAAAATGCTTTTCTCCCTATATAACTGCTGCTCTGTCTGAACTCGCTGGTAGAGGCTTTCTTCAGTGATGAAGCTTTCTTCCTATTTCTAGTATAGATATTGTTTGCTTTGAGTGTGTGTATTTTTTCATGCATCTTGAGGTTTTTCCCTTCTGAGTTGCGCCTTACAATTGCTATTCCTCTGAGAATGCTTGGTGTGTTTTCAGGTCTCTGCTCTATGCTTCCACCACCAACCTCAGTCAAGACATATACATGAAAGATTATATATATATCTTACATGAGACATAAAATATATATCACAGATATCACACAAATATGATGTGAAGAAGTAAATAACTTTTAAATTAATTCCTCTGTCTCAAGCTGAAGAGTACTTCACCAGGCAGCAAGCTGAATAAGTACAGACTCTTCAGCATGTAGTAAAACGTGATCTTTGGGGAATTACAGCAGAGAATGAGCTGATGCATGTTTCACTTATTGCCATATTATTCTAGGAAACAGAGATGGACATTACTGGAAAATTTAGGAGTACTGTTTCTTATAATGAAGGGAAGGGGTGCATTCCTGGATGTCTGTAATTGCTCTGGCAATCTGAAGGCCATTATCAGGTAGTTACTCATCAAAATACCAATCATCTCAACATCAGTATCATTTCCAGCAGTGGTTATACATGCATGCATAGGTGTCTATACTATCATCTAAAAAAATAATTAAGGAGAAAGATTACCTGTGTCATTATCGAACATTTCATAGGATTCCCATGTTTTGTTAAAGAGAGAAGATATTTTACTGAGCTCTGTAGAGTTCCTGATACACTTTTGTCTTAGATTGCCCTTAAAAAGCTGGAGGCCTATGAGAGCAAAGACACTCAGGCAGAAAAGAGTCAGGATCATCACATTGGCAAGTTTCTTAACAGACTGGATCAGTGCCCCTACAATGATCTTGAGTCCTAGGAAGAAGATATACAGAAGAAAAACAGGATGAAAAACTGAAATACATTTCATACTTGATTAGAATTAAAACAATGTAAAAACAAAGCACCAAACTTACTGGCTAATACGTGACAAATATATTTGCAATGCAAGTATAGTTTAGATGAAAGAGTAATTAATATGAGAACAATATTTTTTTCCCTCATTTGACTGACCCTACAATTTTCAGATGTTCCTTTAATCACTGTAAGATACTTAGGCAAGGTTGAAGAATAGAGATAGTCTAGTTTTTTTATCCAGATAGAGTAACATGCATAATTTAAATGAAATTTCCAACACTGGTTATCTGTGAAGAAACTGGAAACGCTCGAAACTGTAATGACTCTAATCAAAACAGACCAGAAAGATAAGACAGAGGAGACCTACTGTTTCTTAATTTGTATTTTGTCCCAAGAAAGAATCCACTGGCTTTATAACTAAGGGGAAAAGTGAAAAGCAAATTGTTTTCCTAGGGATGACGTCCCTGCCCATGGCAGGGGGGTTGGAACTGGTTGATCTTTAAGGTCCCTTCCAACCCAAACCATTCTGTGATTCTATGAAACTCCATTCAGTCACCAGAAGTGTTTCTGTTGAACTGTAATACATAGACCAGTGACAAGAACATTCAGTAAAACTGTCATTATAAAGTATTAACAAAATCTTTAAAAGCATAATGAAAGTAAATTAAACACAAGATTGTTTCTAACAATTAGTTCTGGTTAGACCAGATGAACTATAATGATATTAGTGCTCACGAATTCAGCTGTGTCTGTAATAAATGAATGATACAGAAAGAGGGAAAAAAAAAACCAAAAAAACAAACCATTGTGATTGGAGCAAAGAATCAGTTGTAAGTAGTAGAAAATATTCAGGAAATAAGGTTTCTTACCTGGGACTATGGAAATGGTTTTTAAAGCTCTCAGAACCCTGAAAGTCCGAAGGACAGACATGCTCCCGAGGTTACTAAATGCTCCCACATAGCTGTAAAGTCAGGACGTGATGTGAAAAGTGGTCAAAAGAAGTAAACAAGGAGATTATTTTACAGTGCTCATTTATATCTGTCAATCTTTCCAAGTATATTTTAAAAATTAATAAACTACATATCAGGGATTTGTCTGAAGACTTATGAAATAGAAACCCATTTCTTGATTATTAGAAGTTTCTTATTAGGTAGCTCTTGGCTTGTGCACAGCTGCTTTGGTGTCAGCATCTTAAAATACCATGCATTCAAAATATAAACAAAGGTAACACTCGAAGTTATTCGTTTTAGGCTGAAACACTGGCTGAACTCATTTCATCTCCTTTCTGTAGCTTGTTTGATCTCCCTTCTACACCTAAGCAGTATAAAGGCTTTCTAATTACTGCAAACTGAAAATCAAACTATGATTTTTGGAGATTTAGTGCCTAAATTTAATCTGCTGTCCTGATGTCTATACACACTGCTCTATTTCCAAACTTACACTTCCATTCAGAGGATTGCTATGCCTGTATTTGACAGTCTAGTTACTACATTTCTCTGATTGAAATGCATCTGTAGGTGAATGCTCACCGCAGAGTATCTCTCATTCTGCACAGCTCTATTCCCTTCTTGAAAGACTCATACATGTTTATTATGCAGCGAGTGATAAAATGTGTGGAAGAGTCAATGCCCTGGATAGTTTCAGATGGAGTTAGGACCTGCAGGGTGCATTTTTTTTATACTGCAGACAGCCTCTACACCACAGCAACAAGAACTTCAAATACAGAGCACGAGCGCAGGTGATCTATATTTTATATGTTCCCACTTACGCCATAATGATAACACTGAAATCCAACCAGTTCCACGGATCTCGAAGGAAAGTGAATTCATTTAGACAGAATCCTCTTGCCAATATTTTTATCAATGATTCAAAAGTGTAAATGCCAGTGAAAGTAAATCTAAGAAAGAGAAAAAGTGCCAACGGAAAACAGCAAGATTAGCAATTTAAGAGAAGAGACAGCCAGACTATTTACTGTCCAGGCCAACAAACCAAGACAATGCTGCAGAGAAGTAATGGGAAGATTGCTGTTGATTCCAGCGTGTTCTGTCAGTATTGGACTCATACGGAGTTTGAGGCAATAGCTGACTGCAATCTGGACACGGCTATTAATGTGCACATATGTGGCATGGGGGTTTTGGCATTTTCAGAAATTTTTTTCAAACTCTTTCATGTGAGTCCACATAATTTCAAAAACACAAAACTCCTGGCTACTTGCTAAAATAAAGAGAAAAATTAGTATCTTCCTCTTGGTTTCAAGTGGCCAAGTGAACATGTGATATGTTGTGTATTATTTACTTTGGGGACACAACATCCATTTAGCTGCAGGATGTTTAAAACACTTAGAGAAATACAAGAGTACAGGATTTTCAATTTAAGATGGCAATTATTCTTATTAATGGAAAATTATCAGCAAAAGCTCTTCTGGACTTACCGAGTGCACTTATGATTTCAACAAGCTGCAATCTCCCTATAGAATTCAAAAGGGATTCATTTGGTAGTCAGCAGATGCACTAAGAAATTATATGGATGTAGTGCTTCCCTTTTCATTGGGAAAGAAGTATCCTAAAATTATTATTGAAGTGCATTTGAGCAGTAGTCTTGACACCAACAGCCAACACAATTCTTATCTAATCTCTAAAGCTCCCATAGGTAAAGAGGTATCTCAGCATCTTTGGAAGATATGTATATTAATACCATGTGGAATCTCATTCCTGTTTGCATGAGGATTTGCCCTTCCCAGCTGTTTCCATTTCATGTAACATGAGGTAATCAGAAAAAAATTCAGAGCTTGTTTTAAAACTAAGTATTTTGGATTTTTTTCCTTTACATTAGGTGTTAGAATTATCATTATTTTTATTCTAACAGTTTTATGCCAAACTGAAAAAGTGTTCTAAAATGTTCTTTAAAAAAAAAAAAAAATAAAAATTATCCAGCTTAAATGTGACTACAAAGACATGGAATCATTGTGATTTAACATTGCAAATGTTGACAGCAGTGAAGATAAGAGCTTTACTTTCTAACAGCATCCTGCAGGCCAGGAGCTTCTGACAGAATGTTTTATTAGAGCATTTGAATATTATTAGAACGAATTTTAAAAGAGAGCAGCTCTTGGTGTGCTTCATCAGCAACAATGAGAAATGTGTCTGGATAAAGAGCAAATAATTACTGAGTGACTTCAGAAAGTGGGATAACAAACAGGAGCAGTAGGACAGACATGAATCTAGTTTAACAGTGGAACTTAATCTACACTTGCTCTCCTGTAACACCACAAGCACTGTAGATACTGAGTTTAAAGATAAAATACTCCCTCAAAGCCAAAAAAAAAAGAAATGGACACAGTGCTAACACCAGCAACTTTCCTTCTAAATCCTCATAAACCATCTTGAGCGAAGGCAGCAAGATAAGTCTGAGTAATTTGATGCAACTACAGATTTAAAAAAACATACGTACCCACAGATACTTACTCAACATACTTGTTCCACAAAGGAGATGGAGAAGACTTGGAAGACTCCGTCAAAGCCATGAATGCACAATTAGTTATGATAGTGCACATGATAAACCAAGTGAATAATGTAAGTCACAGGAGTGAAGGCAAAGAATATGACATTATTCAGAAGGGTAACTAGATATTCTCTCAGTCATAGACGTAGACTGGTTAAACTCAAAAGCTCTGCTTTTGAGTTTAAAGTCCACTTAAGAACAGCATGCACATCTATTTGATGATTTTGAATCGTATTAGATGACAGCACAGTACTGTTGTTATTCATGCCACCTGGACTTCTATATGGGCTAGGGATCTGCTGCTCTAAGCACTGCAAACTTGGTAAAAGGATCGTCAACCATTCAAAGAGTGAGAAGAAGGATGCATTTTTAGTTTCATTTTACAGCATAGGAGTTAAAAACTTGCCCAAGGTCACACAGATGAAGCCCAAACCTGAGTCTGAATTGGCAGAGCTGTGTTCCCCTGAAGGGAGAGCGTGAAGTCTGCCAGGACTGCAGGTGTCTCCAAGGGCTGTAGATGCCCATACGTAGCAAACTCTTGGGGCTGCCCAGCTGCCCCCTAGGACCTGCTGACTACAGGGTATGAACAGGAGCTTGCCCATCTATCTCACATGTAGGCACCTAAGCCTAAGCCCCTGGCTAGACCTGAACCTTATGCCTTGTGTCATATCACACATTCTGCAATCCAGGAGGTAGAAGTGCATGGGAAAGACATCTAGCCTTTCCATCATACATCCTCTCCATCCCCACAAGTCTCCTGCCTTTAGCTCCATGAATGGTCAAATTGTCACAAACACAGGGGCTGGAAGAATAGCACTGAAATGCCAATATCAACCAACCTGCTGCCCAGGGAAAGTGTCAGATGAGAAGCATCACTCCTCCAGGGATGTCTTTACCCTGCTACAATGACATCTTTGGACACACTACAGCTAACTCAGCACCACACAGCCAGAGGATGGCTGGAAACCTAAAATCCACACAGGGATACTGCAGAGTCTGCACTGGGCCCGATTCAGCCTCAATTAACAGTGTTATGACTCTGGTCTCATTCCCCAGTGCCAAACTGGAACAATAAAATCGTGATTCCTGGTCCCTAAATTTGATATATGAGGTGGGTTATGCAATACTTTCATATTCTAAAGGCATTCCCTGCAACCACATCCCTGAAAATTTTCACTGTCATATACCAAAGATATATTTTTTATCTGATTTCCTAAAGAAACTAAGTTTGCATTTTTTTTCTCTGTGTGTTTTCATACACATGCCTGTATTTCTCAGTCTTTTTTTCTTAAAATTGTCCAATGGTTGATCAGCTTTGGCACAAGTTGAATTTAATTCCTATAGTTTGGTTAAACAGAAGATGAGAAAGACAACACAGACCTTATTAGTCTTGTCACTGAGAAAGGCTTTGGCATGCAACATTTTCTTATGAGACATCAGACAATTGATCATTCTCAAAACACGAATCTGTAGAAAATCAGGATTCAATACGCCTAGTAGTCACATAACTATTTATTTATAAGTAACACAAGAGCACCAAGGCAATAATTCACTTATGAATTAGCTTAGGAAAAGAGAACGAATGGCATCAACAAAAGGATATGAATGTACTGAAATTTTAATGGCTGTTCTTCTGATTGGATGGAAAGGACTGAGGATCCATAAAGCACGTGTAGCAGTAAACCTGAAGATGGTTTTCTGTTTGTTTAGCACAATGAAAATCTGGAAAAAAAAAAAAGAAACATGAAGTAAATTTTTCTGGAAGTTGAGCAGAGAACATATTTCTGTACTATATCCTGTTATAACAGTGATGAGCAAGAGCTTGATTTTAACTTCAGTCTGGTTAAGTGAAAAGACTCTTTGTAACACTTTGTTATAATTTCATCATAAACTGATGAAAGAGTTAAAACCCATTAACAGCCAAGCTGCAAAAAAATCCTCCACATGAACTTCTTTTTCAAACCTTAGGACTTGCAAAAAGTTGTGCACAGAACTAATCTTGCTTATGACTATTCTCTTAAAATAATTTGAATGTCTCATTGAGTCAAGAAATACAGAGGTGGAAGGAAGAATTGCACCTTTTATTATTATTTGCTGTTGTTGATAGTAGTCCACCAGCTCTAAGACTGTAGACATTAGTTCAAAGAAGTAACCATTTCTCGAACGATAAGCTTATTTTCCAATGGATTAGTTCCCATTTCTCTGGTCTTTATTGAAAAACATATTTGTTAATACTTCATGACTAAAATACGGAGCTTGAATAAGTAAGTTTCAGCAAGTGTTTTAAAATAATTTATATATTTGGGTGATTTTATTATACATGTAAGTGGAATATAAGCATTGAGACAGAGACACGCTGCTTCAAACCATGGAATTTAAGAAAGTTTACAAAATTATTATAATTTCTTGTAGATCTGACTCAAAACACCCTTTTCTTCCTTTTTTTTTCTGCTTCTATTCTTATTCAAATGTTAATGAAGTTTGTACAATTTAATTCCTATAATTCAAAATTAAGCTTTTTTTAGGAAGATTACAGCATGTCATTCAGCTGTGCCAACTGCCTGCATTATTATAACCTAAAATGGGATGACAGTTTTTCCAAAGGGATGTGAGCAAAACTATTTGATAGATCATTCACATAAACGCTTCTTAGCAACACAATAAAACAAACTAAAATCCAAGCATCTTGTTTGTCTCTAACCTTACGGTCTTTGTAGTATGGGTCAAGATCCTCCAGTAGTTCCCCAATGAGTTCTGGAGGAGGATTTCCATAGAGAGCTGGCAACTTCTGGAAAGCTTTTAGGTCAAGCTGAGGACGTGATTTCTCCTCAGGTTTCTGTTCAATAGGATTTCTTTGACAATTCTTCTTGGCAGCAATTCTTTTTTCGATAGCAGCCAAGGATTCAGAAGTGAACTTACGGAAGTTGTTGGTACCAGGTAGTAAGAACTCAGCCATTTTTCATTCTTCTCTTCCTGTCACTGATTCTGTCCAAACAACAGAAATGTCGACAGGAAATCAAGAAAAGTAACTCCAAAACAGGTAAGTTATGAAAATTTAAAACGTTTACCCATGCATGGGTAACAATATACACTTTCTGAGTCATCAGCTCCTAAAAAGAAAAATAAAAGATATCAATGCCGCTTTTTTCAGTGAGATGTCTGTTTTGGTTTGGGTTTTTGGGGGGGGTTGTTGTTGTTATGTGTATCTAATAGGATGTGGGCAGACCTCTATAAATTTAAGAGGATATTCAGCCCACCTCTTTTAGGACACCTATTATTCTAAATGCTCTTGAGCTTCTGTCCAGAAACACCTAAGGTGCTAGTTTAACCCAGTATTTGGAAATGGGACAGTAAAACCCATCAAACTGCAACAACTTCAGATATGTGGAAGCTATGTCTGCAATAGAAAGATCAAGTATTAAATTCATTAGTGTTGATGTAAATACTCAGATGGATAATCCAACCTGGTGACATCAGCACAGGAACAAGCACTGTCCAAGCATCGGAATATTTAACTCATGATCCATGGATTCAGTACTGACTGAATGCTTGATCTGAGGAGTATCAAACACAAAGTTTACACGGTGTCCCCACTTGTCAGAACAACAAAAGTGGGATGATATTAGAAAAACATTTTGCATTATTTAATGGGGAATTCTGGTCAGTTTTTGGATAGGGTCCAGTCCACTAAATGCTACCTGAGTCCATACTTCGGCAATAAGGTCAATCCAACCTTCTACCTTAACACTGAAAAGTTTCAAAGCAAGCCCAAGAAGTGCACATACATGCACAGTGAAAATAAATGAAAACAGTGCACAGAGTTAGATGATCCAGACCTGCATCCTCGTGCTAAACTCACTCAAAAGCTCTATAAAGAAATTTATCTAAAATATTTTCTTTTATTATGACCTCTAGAGAGACACTGTTGATTCAATGCAGTCATGGAGGCATTGAGACAGTGCAGTCTCACCTGCAGAAAGTGAAATGATCCCATCGGGTCGAGGACTTTACCCCGGATGGATCACTGCTGAGTCTGCGTAGAAGATGACATTAGAGGCACACAGCCAGGTCTTTCCATCCAGAAGTTGCCCCAATCACTTCAATGTGTCCTTCAAAGCTGACTCCATAACTAGCAATAATGGGTTCATCTTGAAAAGTTTAGGCTGCCTTCACTAGGCAACTGCCAGTCGGCCTGCCCTTCCACCTTTCCTTTCCAGGCACTCTATGTGACATCCCAGGAAAACACAGAATCAAAAGTCTTTCTTTTACCAAAAATAATTTGACCACCTGTGTGCACACTCCCTGCATCTTGCCCTACCATTCAACACATTTCAGTTCTCCCCAGATACAATGCGGTTTCAGTTGTCCTCACACTGCTGACCTGGAGGAAACCATTGCTGTGAGAACAACTGGAAAACAGTGACAAAGTAACTGCAGTGGAATCTCTTAGTTTTTTGCAGTCTGTCTGCCTCTCCCATTAAATAAGCACACAAAACTACAATCGTAAAAAGGAACCCCTGCTTCCAGCACAAAATAACTGTATTTCTGGAAGAGAAATAGGAAATTCAGGCAATACTCATTATTTTATACTTTGCAAGATCAAGCTAAGATTCTGGAAGCTGTGCATAATATAGCAAAAATGAAAATGATGACATCCACTCCCAAGTTTTCAAATCTTCAGCTAGCCAAAGTGGTATTTGTTTTGTTGATGCTCAGTAATTTAGATGTTGTGATATCAGTAATGAGAGCTGTGAATGATGCATGAAATGACACAATTTCTGTGCAATGCACGGAGGGAATACAGTAATTACTTTATTCTGCAGTGTGCCAAATAATCCAAACATGCTGTTTTGGTTTAACCCCAGCCATCAACTAAGCACCACACAGCCACTCATTCACTCCCCCCATGGTGGGACCAGGAGAGAATCAGAAAAGTGAAAAAACTCACAGATTGAGATAAAGACAGTTTAATGGATAAAGCAAAAGCCACTGGCACAAACAAAGCAAAGCAAGGAATTCATTCACCACGTCCCACGGGCAGGCAGGTTTTCAGCCATCCCCAGGAAGGCTGGGGTCCCTCATGTGTGACAATTACTTGGGAAGACAAACACCATCAGTCCCAACATCCTCCCCCTCCTTCCTTCTTCCCCCAGCTTTATGTGCTGAGCATGATGTCATATGGTGTGGGATATCCCTTGGGTTAGTTGGGGTCAGCTGTCCCAGCTGTGTCCCCTCACAACTTCTTGTGCACCCCCAGGCTACTCACTGGTGGAGTGGAGTGAGGAGCAGAAAAGGCCTTGACTCTGTGTCAGCCCTGCTCAGCAGCAACAAAAACATCCCTGTGCTATCAACACCATTTGCTCCACAAATCCAAAACACAGCCCCGTACTATGAAGAAAATTCACTCTATCCCAGCCAAACCCAGCACACCCATCCCTCCACATAGCACTTTCATAAAAGGCTACATGATCTCAGAAGTTCACCATTAAAATTCTGGGTTTGTTGCAGATTTCTTTGCAGTTTTCTCTCCTTGCTTCCAAGAAATGATCTTTCAAATCCCAGAAAAGAAGCTTTGATTATCACACCATTCTCCCTCAAGACTATTAGAAAGCACAGCAAAATCCAGGAAGCCAAGATGTTGCTGACTAAAGCCAAAGATGAGGAAATAGAAGGAAGCATGAGGTCACATAGAGTCTGCAGGTCCTTGGCTGGAGCTCGAGACCAGACAGGGGAGTCTGGTTCCTGGTGGTTTTATTAATTATTCCACAGGCGAAGGAACATTAAGGAAAGGAAATAAAGTCTTGTGCTTGCTGTTTCACACATCAGTAGCAAAATTTCAATTGATAATTATCAGAAGCCATGGATCAGAAGGCTGAACTATGCTTTTTAGTCATGGACAATTTTGAGCTACTCAGCCTAGTCCTGATAAAATCTGATGATTATCAAAAATGGAATAATCCAGAAAAAAATATTTGTGATTCATTCAAGCATCTGTAAAAATACCCTCAAAATAATTTCTGTCACTTATAGTCTCAGGGAGTGTAGCATACTAGGTACAGCTGAGATGTATTTTTTTTTATGAGACCAGTGCTAGATTTAGCAATTTGAACAAGAGAGGTCAAAAGTGTGAATGCAAAACTATTTTTGTCTTTGATATCACAGCAGCAACAAAGCATCATTTTGGCTTTTTCTCAAGAGTTGAAATAGCTACAAAATAGAATGAAGTTTAAGATCTCTTTAAAATGAGACGTTTTCTTATAGTTTGACGGACTGAAGACCAGATACTGCTGAAATCAATATGGTTAAAGAATAACTATAAGAAAAGGACAACAAAAAGGCATTTATGATTTCTTCTTTTAGCCATCAAACATATATTCTATAAATTATTTAATACTAAAATGTGTAATAGCTAGATAGCTTTCCAAAGTAAGATTGCTTTTTTCCAGACATGTTTCCCACTTTAGGAATATTAATTTTGATAGACTAGGAAACAAGGTTATTGTCAAAGATGTTTTCTCTGATTTTCCTGCTGCTACAGTCACCCCAATTCAATCCTCAGTTAACGAATAAAAGTTGTTCTCAATTATTTGATTTCCTGGTTTCATGATCTATTATGGAAAGGGGTGAAAAACATGTTGACAGTTACTGTGGTCAACATGACCAAGGTAATTAGTATCAACAGAATGGCCAGGATTGCCTTATTACATTTTTTTTCTTTAGCTTGGATAATTGCAATACTTGCCTGTTAAAACTGTTCCTTTCATTTAAAAAGGCTTTTATAATATAGACAGAAATTATCTCTTAAATAACAGGAATAACAGTTGTTTTGAAGACCTATTGGAATGACTGAAATGTTATTGTCTTGAGCATAGTTGATTTTTGTACACTTTTGCATCATATTCAGTGATAATAGCCAATGCCTGGAGGAGTGAAGTTTGGGACTCTGGACTAATACAGCTGTTTGTATGTGCAGTAATTATTTCAGTAGCCAAGACCATCAATACAGACCTTGGAAAGCCTATATAACACCTGCACCCCATGGAGCTACTATGGTAGAATTGGGATGTATTACATCTTTCCACATATGAATTTCCAGCAGATAAGATAAATCTTTTCAGAACTGAATAAGGAAATATTTAGTTAACTACAGTTCTGTAGGACTAGTCTGTTCTTTCCTCAAAACCTTTTCTATATTTTGAGGCAGGTAATTTAATCAAACCAATCCGACATTGTCTTAATGGTCTTTAAAACATGCATGAAAATAACTTTTGTATATTAAGACATGTAATTTATTCATAGAATAACTTAGGTTGAATTAGTCTATGACATAATTATTTGCTATAATACTGTGAGAGGTCTCTAACTTATTCCTCAAATTGGGTCAGTCATGATGTCAGGGCTTTATCCAAACAATCTCCAAGGATAGAGACTGCACAACCTCTTTAAGCAACCTGTTCCATACTTGACTATCTCAATCCATTTGAGCCCCTTTTTGTTTCAATTCATACCCTTTGCATACCCATGCACCACTGTAATAATGAAAAAGAAATAAATTATTACATTAGTTTAAAAGTAAAAGGCACCAGCACACCCCAAAATTCCTATATATATAGGGAAACAAATGCTATACCTACTTCAGCCCATTTAATCTGCCTTTATATAACAGCCTACAAGTAACATCTCACAGGTCTGAGTAACAACATCGAGTGTTAAGGCAAGCTCCACTGAGATTGCCAAGGGAGACAATGATGAGCATACTCGCTCATCAGTTTCCCACATTTAGAACATCATACCTTACCTGAACTGAGCTGTGGCACCATCCTTTGAACATTCCAGGTTCAATCCCAAAATTTACCTTTCCTAGACAACCTGGTTGAGAGCCTCAGTCCTCTGAGTATCCCAGCATCTGAACAAAAGGAGATGGCAACAGCTGACCTAGATAACCTATATTTGCAA